AAAGTCAAGGCCAACAAGAAACTTTAACCTATGGTCACAATGATACACATCAAATTTACCGTCTTGATGTTGATAAGAGACCTGGCATCTCATCTGATGTTCATCTCTGCAGTACCTCCTGGACTGATGGATGCACTTTGCTGTGAATTGCAAATATCGAAAAACACAGAAGTAAAACCTGATACTCTAACTGGGGCAATGATGTTGGAATGAGGGGCCAGTTGTCAGGCCATCATGCGTCAGCCATTGATAGGCTGATCCATTAAGTCATAACCCATCAGAGAATGGGAGGGGGAATGCCCCAAGTTGAAAAAGTGGGGAAATGCTTGCCCCCCTTCTGCTGACAGTGCTATGATTTACAAGAGTTTATTGCCAAAATTACAAGGAGTATACAGGTGCTCCTCCAAGCTCTGTACACACTGGATCAAGGGTTATTGTTTTTGGATGCACTATTATTGAAGGCCTGAACAAGTGTCGTAAAATATTGTACCACTTAAAAATTGGCAATGTATTCCTAAGCTGATGGTCTTCCTATTTCCATCAAGGTATTTCTCATCATTGCCAAATCTTTGTCCCAGCTTTCTCTATATAAAGTTACCTTAAGAAAAAGAAATGGGTCGCTCAGCAAGCAGGGTCATCGGTCATCTGTTATTCCTCCTCCCTGCTTCCGGATCCTGAAAGCCTGCTGAGGAGTCTCTCCCTTCATTATCAACAGTGGAATTCGGTCTAGTGAAGTCCCACTGCAGAACCTGTCCCTAACTCTGCAAGAATAAAACTTCTCCACCCATACTGGCTGGGCTTGATTAATACATCAATTTACTTCAATGTCTTTGTTCTCATCACCTCAATGCAGCCTCAAGGTACTGCTGTCTCTTAAATACAAATATTGGACAGTGTGTGCACACCAGACAAAACAATCTTTTTCATAACAATACCCTCTTTCTTCTTTCCCGAAGCAATCCCTGGTATCTCTTTGTCATGCGCTCACTAAGCTGCTCTGCTTGCTCATATTAAGTACCATGTTTTTCACTTTCGAAGTTGACTGCCTCACTTCCAGAGTTTCAACATTTTCATCACTTGCTTACCAGTTTGTATTCACACTAATCCACACTCAAAATTCTCTTTAATGTTAAACATTATTTCTTTTTATTAGGTCAACTGTTAGATTCATTTCATTTTACTGACTTGATTTTTAATATTTGAGTGGTTTCCTATTCCTTATATTTCTAATTGCAAATTACTCAAAAACGCAATTTTTATTTCTGATGAAGAAAAAGTTGGCAGATTTATTATTTTCAAATTATCAACTGAAGAGTCAAATAAACAAATAACACCCTGGGCTATATCTTAACTAGTTTACTTCTTTTCTGAATATCCCAATGACTGGTCAACCAACAGACCAACCAATGACCTGAACCAACTTATTTACTTAATTACATACACACCAACTTACACTCCCTACTGCTTACCTTTTTTACTGTTACAAATTACCACTACCTACATGATTACTTTCACTTTATTTGACTTGGTTACATACCCATACTTTTACATACTGACCGAGCGATCAACCCAAGACATCCTTATTTACCAAATACAATTCAACTATTGCTGTCACTTACTTTATTTCACTGTGGCATACCCGAACTTATGATTAGTGGCTGACCAACCACATGACCAACTGACAGCCGACCGGTTTGCTTAGTGTATATACCTCCATGCTTACTTATAGTTACGTTATTTTACCTACCTTGCTATACTCTAATGACTTTTTGTAGTTACTTACATAGTTATTCTCACTTGAACTAGTTTATGTTGTTACTTCTACTAGTTCACATAGACTACTCACTTATTACCGAAGACTCAACCAAATGACCAACTTAGTTAATATCCTTAACTTGACTGAATACTTTATTTACTTGTCTCTACTGACCAACCTAGTGCTACCAAACCAGCTATCATATTTCTTGACTAAATACAATTCTTCATCAAACCACCACTTACTTCCTTCAACTATTTAATCAATTCACGATGGATGAATGTGTCGCGGACTATGTATTGAGATTGTCATTTTTAGAATTTCATTTTTAGAATACTTCTCGGTTAACTGGTTAACATTTGTTTCCAAGATTTAATTTATTTGTGGTTTTAATCGACTTCGTGCAAAAAAACTTCTTAGTTTTATGTCTCTCATCATTTCCTCTCTGAAACACACAGAACCTCACACTGATTCACATTCAAGCACACTGCAAGCTGCTTTGCATTGCTCCGTTCGCTGACTGCAGCGGCTGCTCTGCCTTCGCCCATGCACCCCTTTCCTAGTTTTGCACCCTTTGTGTCCTCAACATCTTTAATATCTTTTTATATTGAATAAAATTGTGTTTACTTACTGTGAAAGCTGTTATTTGACCTTACACAATGCTTCCTGGGAATGTCAGGGACACTGTCCTCTCTCAACATCTCATCAGCGGTCTCTTCATCTTCAAGAAGTCCAGCTTCAGGTCCTGTAGACTACCAGGAAAAAGAAAAAACTTCTCGACCCAGGCTAGCTGGGCTTCATTATTTTCCAATTCAACTCAGGATCTTATCATTTTGTCTTTTACCTTCATTGTCAAGGTGAACAGATCAACGCTGCATGGGAAAGGAACTCCCGCTGTCAAAAGTTGCTTCCACGCTGAACATTAAAAATGAAAGAATTGAAATAACATCCAGCAACTGGAAAAGACTCACATTTACCCTGCGAGAAACATCATATCTACTTTGCTCTTAAGACAATGTTACAGTTTCTCAAATCTGTCTGTATTGGAATTTCAGTGTTTGACTCTGGATGTGACTTGGGCACGATTGCCATCGTTTGTTCTTTATATATGTGTATTTGCCGCCATTAGACAAGCTGAAAACAATCCTTATTTTTGGACACTTGTCATTTCTCTTCAACGACAGACTAACCTCAAGAAACAAATACGGGATGCTCAGAAAGAGGGGTCGACAGTCATCTGTTGGACTTTCTCCAGGGCATCTCTGCTCCCAGCACCCGGGCTTCAGCAGAATCCTTCCTTTTTATAAATTNAATGTTACAGTTTCTCAAATTTGTCTGTATTGGAATTTCAGTGTTTGACTCTGGATGTGACTTGGGCACGATTGCCATCGTTTGTTCTTTATATATGTGTATTTGCCGCCATTAGACAAGCTGAAAACAATCCTTATTTTTGGACACTTGTCATTTCTCTTCAACGACAGACTAACCTCAAGAAACAAATACGGGATGCTCAGCAAGAGGGGTCGACAGTCATCTGTGGGACTTTCCCCATGGCATCTCTGCTCCCAGCACCTGGGCTTCAGCAGAATCCTTCAAGAAAAAATAAGGAGAAGGTCATTTGATTGCACTTATAATAAAGCTTGGAGTTGCTGGATGGCCGTCGTTGACTCTCCTGAGTCGAAACCTTTTAAGATGGATCTTTTTTTTAGTTCCACCAGGGTGTCCGGCCACCCTCCTCACCAGCCTCCCAAAGGAATCTGGTGGGGGCGTCAGTTTAGTCGCCGACGACTCGACCCTGAAACAGGTTGTACTGGACTACAGGTTACCAGTAGCAAGTCTCCTGACTTGACCTGACAGGGATTTTACCTCTCATTTTAAGCCTAATCTTCTAAGATGCATTCAACTTGGAAACCACTAGTACTAAAATGAATCGAAAAACAAAACACATTGAAATATAGTCTAAGCCTAGTTAACCTACAGTGGCTAGCCACCTCTTCTACAAGTATATTAGCTGCAACTGCATGGTCACCCTTTCCTTGTGTGCAGTCCTCTGTCCCTCAGTGTTACAGGCATCATTGAAGCACTTGACGGATCCATCTCTAAGCATGGTATGCAAAC